CGAGGGGCAGGAGTAGAGGGAAGCTGAGTTGAAGAAACTGTGAGGGAGAGAGAGGAGAAAACAGATGGAGCAAGCAGCCAATCAGAGATAAGTTCTGTCAAAACTGTAGAAAGTTCTCTCAATGTCCAGAGATCTAATGGTTCCTGCTTTGGCTGCTTCTGCTCCTACCAGCTGGAGTCTCTGCCTGGCTCCTCTTTGCAGTGTTCCTCCACATGGTGGGAGGTGGGTCCTACTGCCTCCAGGGGTGGATTCCCTTATAACGTTCTGGTTCCAGGGCAGTGGGGTTGGTACAGTTTTTATAGTGGGGGTGCTGAAAGACACTGAACAAAAAACTGTAAACCCTGTATATGATGGAAACCACTTCAAGCCAGGGGGTGCTGCCACACCCCCAACATCCCTAGTTCAAGCACCCCTGTTCCAGGGGGACACTGAGAGGAGGGGTGGCCATAGCTGGGCCCCATTTTACCCACTCTTCTCCAGTGCAGCAGTCCCTACTTTGGTAGCTTTTGTCCCTAGTGGCTGGAGTTTTTGACACTATTCCTCTGTAGGTCTATTCTCTAGTAACATTCTTTACTGAGCAGGGTGGATAAAAATTGTCTTGGGTTTAGTCAATGTTGTTGACAAGGCTCAGCAAGATAATGGAGGGTGCTGCTTTAAATTAAAAAGGCCCATCACTCATCAAGTACTTTTGAGTGTTAGCAGCAACAAGTTTTCCTATCTATTTATTTATACTTCTCATTGATAATGCAGGAGGAGAACTAAGTCTGCAGAGTAGCATTATTTAATGCATGCAAGGGTTAGAGCAGCAGAGGACTCCTCTCCTGCTCCATGAGTTACACTAGGACATTATTTAGGAGGTGGAAATCATTGTAATATAATGTAATTCACCAGATTTAGAAATCTGTCCACTGGGGCAAACATTAGTAATATTGGGGTATGTTTGTACATGATGGTGTTGGGGAAATATTATATTTAGTATTTGGAAGTTACCCTTTATTTTGTTGTTAATAAAGCTATGGTAGCATCTCCAGTGTGGTTTAGCTAGTTCATAATTGCCTCTAGAAATAAATGACAAAGACAGGGGGTCAAATTCTGCCTTGCCCTTTACATGGTCCTTTACAAAGCAGTGGAGTATCAGACCTATATTTTTTTTATCTTGAAAGGAATTGAAATCATGTTTCTTTCCAATTTCTCACAATTTTTAGCACATACAAGTATAAACTGTCTATACAGGACAGAAAGTGGCTACACCCCTACATTCAAGTCAATATTACACAAATTCCCTCTAGACAAAGTTTCCAGGATTCCATAGTTAGTGTGTGAGATCAGATAATATTGCGCTGCACTTGCCTAGTGCTTTTCATTCATAGATCCCAAAGTACTTATGAATTTACAAGTGGGGATACTGAGGCACAAAGAAGTTAAGTGACTTGTCCAAGGTCATATAACAAATTGGGAATAGAACACAAATTGTCTGACTCTCCCCCTCTAGATCTCATGTTCAATACATGACACAGGAACTGCAGATAGTCATGTGATGACCCAACTGTATGTTATGCTTAATTTGTCAAATGCGATGACTAATTTAAGAACACCAGTCAGGCAGGATTTGGCACAAGTTTGTTCATTTGCAATTTACTGGGACACAATGCTGAAAAGAGAAATCATATAGTCTGGGAATTTTTCTCTGTTACTGTAATCCTGGAAGAACTGACTGGAAAATCATCATCTCTCACGCAAAACAAATGTCAAGACACTCCACGCCATCCAAACAAATGCAAGTAGGAATTGGGCGCCCTGAATGACAAATTGTTATTATCCAGTTCCATTTTAGGACTGCTGTTTGATATGGAATGAGTCTTAAGAAAATTGTTTCATTCTATCACTAATAAAAGAATAAAACTCTAATATTATGGCAGCTGGAAAGAAAGTCCAATAATATACTGTCTTGGAGTCTTGAAATTCTACCTTCCGTGCAGGAAAGAAGTACCCTTTTAACAGTAACTTGATATTAATCAGTGGTATTTATGCTATAAAGCAGGAAATAGCTTAGAAGGCAGGTGAAATGATAAGATTCCAGGACAGAAGGCTAATAAACCCCAAATTCTGTGTAATGTAGCTGATAAACTCACATCACCATTTTGTATAACTCTGTTGGTAGGATGTTGTCTTGTGCATGGAAAAAAATGGAATAATACAGTTTTAAACTAATTATAAGCCCCACTCACTACTTCACTCTAAAATAATTTTAATGCAATCACATTTAATTAAAAATAATATATCTATTAAAATAGCAAATTAAATAAAAAATGTAGTACATCAAGAAGGGGCTTAAATTCCAGTTATACTATACATTAAATTGTATTTTGATCTGCATCATCAAGAAAGTCTCATCTGTGAGATGAACGTATCCTTTACAATAATAAATATATCATTTTGGGGAGACTCCGGGGGAAGATAAGTGATGGAATTAGTATTTAATTTATTTTTTCATCTGGCCTATTTGCATAAGTTCAAGAATATACGAAAAAGGCATCTTAAAGGTACACATCCAGCTGTTTTTATCAAAAATTTATAGTGAAAAATATTTTTAAACAAATTACTAAAAAAGAGAGTTACACTATCTGATTTTGTTAAAAGGTTTTTTTTTTTGGTATGGATAGTTTGGCTTTCTTTTGACAATTTCTCACTTAAATGTTGTGAACTCAGAAAGTGCCAGACTAAGATTCTTTATGTACTGTTACACGTCATAAGACAATATTATTTTTACCAAGTCAAAGATGTTTGCACCTTTTGGGGCACGTCTATCATCAAAACTCAATTAAATAGAGCCTTTCTATCTTCAACTAAAACAAACTGTTTACTTACATTTGCTCTGTGTTTACTTCACAAGAGGTAGAAAACCCAAATATAACAGTAACATAGGTGTCTTGGGATATAGCACGGGTCAAAAAATTTAACCCAAGGACGATGGCCTAGTCTTTTGGTTGCAACAGGAGACTTTCTTTTTCCTTTGCCAAGTAAATGGCAGCATTATAATGGTATTCATACGTCACGTGGTGTCCTTACAATTCCTCTATTCAACCTGAAAGGGATATATTCCCTTTGTTGCAAAGTATTAAATTTGTCCCTTGAGATTAGTGTGTAGGCAGTTTGAAGGATGAAACAGGATTAGATAAGGTTTCTTACTGAGAAAGAGTTTTGAAATTGTGCTGCAGAATACCCTCCCATGTTACATGTGCTGAAAAAACATCCTTTGTTTTAACACTTCAAATCACAAGTCAAATTTATCAAATTATTAGTTGACAAAATGTTTCTTTGTGGAGTTTTGTGAAAGACAGACAAGTTACAAATAGAGGGGGAAATGACATTTGTTTTCATTGTGTTTGAAATTTTAAGTCTGAAATTCCTCTATGCCATATCATTTTAAATATGTTTTAACCAAGTGAAACAAAAATAATTGTATTTATCTTCTAAAAAATTCAGAATATTTCTGCCTTTTTTGTTGTGATTCTGAGAAGAAAAATATTATATCCACTTGTGAACTCAGCCAAGCATTTAAGTCTAAAAAGTATCAAAAATCCACGTCAAGATGTCCTAGAAAATGTCAGTAGTTCAACTGTGCTCCACTCACTTGCATATAATTAATAGTGTTATATACCACACAAAGACTTGAATGAATTTGATGTCCAGGTTTTCAGTGAGGTCTTCTATTTTTCTTCTTTGGAAAAAAAGGCACTATTCCATTTCCTCCTCTGTTTTGCTTACTTTTCAGGATGCAAACCTTTACTAATTAGTTTCTAGAGGATAATTAGCCAGATATATATTATAAAATAAGGGCAGCCTTTTTTCTTTTTTTTTTTTAAGTTGATAGGTTCACAGACAAGGGCAGTCCCATCCTACATTTTTGTTATCCTCCTCTGTGGACTTTGACCCCATCCTTCCTCAAATCCCTGTGTTTGGTTATCTTCCCTGATGAGGAAGGCTAGATGGAATTCCCTTCAATATCTATCAACAGCAGTCCTTGACTGGTCACAGAGCAAACTGGAGAGTGACGTAAGAGACTCCCACCTCAGGGGCTGAGTGTGCTGCCTTCATAGAACTAGCAGCCTTCGCTAGCTGTTTGAGTGATTAGGCCTCAAATCAAACGGAGGTGTGTCAGAGATAGCACAGAACCCCAACTCCTCATTTTTTCTATCCATACAGCTCATCATGTTCACCACCATTAAATTGACTCAGTCTACCTTTTTCTCGGCAGGGAGGCAGGCTATGCAGCCATTCCCAAGATTATAAGTGCCACTCCATAACTCACCAAAAGAGAGGGCTGTAAGAATGGATAGTGATTCCTAGTCTCGCTTTTCCAAAACATACCCAATCATATACTAACCCATGGATGGGGTACAGCACTCCTAGACTTGGATGCCTGACATAAGAGAACAATATGCTATAGTTACACTACTATAACTGCACAGGAGATGCAAATTTCCACAGACTCTTGATATACCTTGGCATTGTAATAAAATCATTTAATCTGTTTTTCCTCCCATTTTCTTTTTTTAAAATTGAAGATAATACAAAAATATCCATACAACTGATATAAAAGATCAAACAATATCACCTGCAATTAAAATTTTTGTCCCTGCACTGCACTTCAGCCAACTCCAAGCATGGTGTTAAAATACATTCTTTACAATATGTACCAAATAAAAGTTAAACTATAAATATTAATGAAGACTGGAGAGAGAAAGAAAAAGATGTGCTATTGCTCAGTATTCCATGCATTCAACAAAATCAGCATACTTTAAAATGGGTTTGGTGACTTGCCCCCTTTTTCTTAATATTAGACACAGCAAAATGTGATTGCTTCCCACACAAGGCTACTGGATGATGAAAATGTACATCATTAACCAAGTTAAATGGCACTAGGTTTGCAATTTTCAAGGCACAGATAAAAATGGTATGCTGGTATAATTCATGAACCATTATAACAGATATATTACCTTAATGTAATGTCCTGAAATGACTATCTTCATTTTCTATAGTTGGAAGAAAGCTCACTTTAAAAAAAAAGAGGGGGTGGGAAGGAAATCCAGAGTCACCTAACAATGTTTTCAGGCATAAAACTCAGTAACTTTACCTTTTTGTGTGTGATCATCACTGCTACATCATGCCATTCTACAGAACACCTTGCTGTGCACAACAGCCATATGACCACACACAGAAGAAAGATATAGGATTGTGGGAACCCACCCTGTATATTTCAGCATTTTAAGCTTTGCATATTGAAATCAGATCTAGACCCTGATTCCTGCATTTGGATCCAGAGCTTCAAGCCCATTGGGAGCCCCATGAACTTCTGTGGGATTACACTTGAATGCACAGGACTCCCCATGCAGATCCTATTGCAATATTGGTCCTAGAGTATTTACAGAAATACGTATTTCCCATGAGACTGTTAGCCCCAAAGATATACAAATTCTGTGAAAATTGAGACTGTCCCAGCAATTGTGGGATATCAGTATGCAACTTTCCTGTCCAAACCAGAGTTTAATTAAATCTGATAATCCCTAAGAGGAGCAGGAGTTGAACAGGAGTGTTGTCTGCCCCTCAATAGCATTAACACTTGCTGGAGGGCCAGCAACTCCCACAAATCAATAGACCCACCACCACCATCCCTCTGAGCAGCCATGGTGACCCACAGGAATATCAGCTAGTCACCCTTCCCAGCTTTCAAGGAAAAGGTAGAGAATGGTATGTAGATAGAAAAATGCTCCCAAATGCCCTCTTCTTTCTGTAGCAAGCCCCAGCTGAGAAGGAGTAGTTGATATTCATGCTATAATGTCTGTGCTACTGTCATACAGTGTGGTATGTGAACAAAATAATAAAAGATGATCTGTCAAAAAGCTGCACACTTAAGTTGGTAATTATTTTGAATGACATAGTATCACTCTCTAAAATAAATTTAAATACCGGTGAAGTGTAAATACAACAGTATTACTTAGCTAAGATTAACAACAATAATGCACATTCTAGTCAATACTTTTCGTAACATTCAACTATTGTCTACAAAAAAAGTACAAAGTGTGGGGGTTTGGGGTTTTTTGTTGTTGTTGTTTTTAAATTAAACATACGCTGGGTTACAGTTTAATTTAAACATATGATACCCCATATTATTCCATCATCTTATATGGGAACTTATATTTATACATCTATGCATTTCATTTCTTGTATTAGAGGACACAATGAAGGTAAAGATATTCCTATATTTTCAAGTTCTCTTTTGATTGGTAAGGGACAGTGGAGGCCCATCTGTTTTGCAGCAAAGAAAGCCCCAAACCATCTGTGTAGAACCACATGCCAGCTAAAACACAGAGATATGCACAGTTTTTTGTTATGAAAAATTTTGCAGTATTTTTTTCCTGTATTAGTGTGAATAAATTAGCAACAACTAAATTAAAGAAATCTTCAGAGAACATATTAACTTTCTGGTGCATGCTGGAAAATGTATCCATTTAGAAATCATGAAACATTCATTGGACAGATATGTCCATCTGACTATTTTCTGTTCTTAACACAGAGAATCATTTATCTGTAAAATAAAGCATCTTTCTTTAGTTTGGTAATAGAAGTTAATTTATACCTAGTTGATTCTTTGAGGAACCCTATAGCTTTCAAACAGCACATAATTACAGCTACAGTTAGATATTGGCATAATAATAGCATTTAAAAGTTGGGTCCATATGTTCCCCTCCCATCTACAAAGCCAAGGCAGAGGGAAACTTACCCAAAAATCTCTGTATCTTTGGCTGACCTGAAGGTCTGCTCCATCTTCCTCTTTAATAGATACGAAGAGAAGAATTGTGAAGGGGGATCAGCCCCCAAAACCTGCATTGGATCAAGATAAACAGAAATACACAAATTTCCTCTGCTTGTATGAGAACATACTCTTTGTAACCCTAGAGTGGCAGAATTGTGGGCTTAGTTGTTGTGCTGCCATTGACTACAGAATTGTCATCATTGTTCTAAGTCTCCACTTAAGGGGTCTAGAGCACATGGCTTGATCAACCCTAACTTGTGTAAGAATTTCCACATTCACAAGCTTTGGAAGTGAGCATAGGATGTGTAGAGTAGTCATTTCTAAATCTTCACTAGCAGGCCGTGCTCTCCTTTCCCTGTAAACCGAAAAGACAAGCTAGAAGTGGCTGCACAAAGGCTACTAAGGAAGTCACCTTTCCCTCTCAGTACTGCTACTCCTTTTCTTTAGGTTTGCTGCTGTTGTCTCTTCCATACTGCATAGAAGAGTGGAATCACATGGACCTTAGAGACAATATGCATTTGCAACAAACCATGTCCAGTTAGCAGCAGAGAGAGAACTCAGGACCTTCAGCAACAAAAGCATCCATCGCTACAAGTTGACCTAAAGGAGTAATTCCATTAGCTATAAATATCAAGCTGCCATCTTTTCTGGGGCCGGCCACTAGGAAGAGACATCACACACACACACACACACACACACACACACACACACACACTCTAAGCCAGTATTATAATATAATAGCTTATATTTATAGTGTATATCATTGTAGTGCTCTTTTGACATTGTAGGTAAAATGAGGGCATCTTGGTTGTTTTCTGCTTTTCTGAACCAACTCTTTTACAACTAAATTTATATTCCCATAGAGATAGAATGAAAAATTTCATATTGTTTTCATTATTAACCCCACTCCACCTTCTTTATCAATGTATTTTGGCAATGTGTAGGCTGAGAAAAAGGTACAAGGGTTAATGCTTTCCAGAATTATGGCAATCTTTGGGGAATTTTTAATGCTTTATTCATAATGCCTGCTCAATGCTTAGATACTATGGTGCTTGATGTTTTGCAGCAAAGAAGCCCCAAACCTAAAGGTACCTAAATTAGAGCATGATCCTGAAAAGACTTGCTACCAGGCATAGCTCATTCCACCATGCATAATCCCACTGACTTCTGGTTTGTACCTATTTATGGACCCAATCCTGCAAACATTTGCTACTAGGCATTGATTTCAATGGGCTTTCTCATGGTAGAAAGCATTATGGGGCTTATTCACCATTGTCCTGTACCTTATGCAGTCATTTACACCAGTGAAAAGTGAGTGTAATGTGAGTGCGAGTGCAAAATGTTACCATTCTAATTCAGTAGCATCTCACACCCTATTTCTACTGGTGAGAGTGACCACACATGCTGCAGGGCAATAAATTAATCGGCCCTTATATCCAATAGCATGTATTTGCAGAGTCGGGCTCACAGATAGATACAAAACATGATTGAGTGCTATGACTAATAACTCTTGCTACTTCACTACACAGGACTTCATAGTAGATTAAAAGACTAGAAAATGTAACTCTGAGTTTAGTTATACTCATGAAAAATTGTAAACAACATCAATTTCAAGTTGTTAGTCTAAACTGAATTGATTTAAGAAAAGTAATTTCCTAAATCTGAGAGCTACAGTTTTGTATAGATGCTCCACGTCTGACACTTTTTGTTACACTAAGCATGCTAACTTTGTGATCCTATAATTATTCTTACATTCATTATTTTTAAAATGTGTAGTTTTTTTCCTCTTGATAAATAAAGAATGACCTGTTCTGAACTACAACAGAGTTTTGAAAGGAGAAACTATTCACACATGAAGGAGTTTGGTAAAGCTGTGATTTTCTGCTCGACTTGAAATCAGTTTATGATTCAGTTTTAAGAAGGTTAATCAATCTGAACTAAAATGGAAAGAGATATGCATAAAATACATAGAAAGACATCATTATTTTGCAGAATAATATGTTTACATGCATACAATGTGGTGACACAATTTTATTTTGTTCCCATTATGAGAGATCTAATAGGTATATTGCACAGCATTTCAAGTTATCAACCTATAAACCATTAGTTTTTTTAAGGAGAGACTAGTTTGCAGTATGGCAACCCATAGCACATGAAAATTTCACACAGGTAAGGAATTAATCCCTTTCACCACAATATTGTTTATTAAATAATCATAGAAATAATATATTTTTAAAAATCAACAGTAAGTCACGATTGCTACATTGTATATGTCACAATCAGATCAGATTAAAAGTTTTCTTTTCATTTTTTTTTTTTAATTTAAAGGACACTTTTCAGCTTTTCATTTCCACATGGGGTAAGATCTCCTGTTCAAAGAGGACATAATTAGTTTCTTTTTTCAAAGAACCATACCCTTGTTTTTCCCCAGGTAATCAGAGTCATAGCTTCTTCAGTTTTTTATATTAATTTTTTTCATTAAAAACTTTATCAAACACAAAACTCTGAGACATTTACCTGTATAAGTCAAAACTATATCCACATATTATAATGTTTGTGCTTGTTAAAGTCTTCCAGTCATTCTAGACTTAGAGAAATAGTGTCCAAATGTACCATATTTAGCTTCTATCTCAAATTCTCCCGAGCTGTCAATTTAGGTGTTAAAGAGACCATTTGTAAAGCTTGGCTGGGAATTGCCATTATTGACTGGAATGTGTGTTTATCATTACATTCAATGATGAAAGTGGAACATGTAGCATATGAATAAATGTCAGCAGATGTTTCTTTTAAATGGCCTGATTTCAACCTCCTGTTGTTTGTCTTGAATACAAATATTAAAAAAGGGAAAAAAGACAGAATTTTTATGACATAAGTGCAAGGGTAGTTATACTAAAAAAAAACAGAAATAATTATTAGAGTCAGAACAGAGTGAGGAAAGTAGAATTAATAAGAATTAGTTTGGTGCTGGGAAGCTACTGTTTGGTTTGGTTTGGAAAAAACTGCAGTTCAGTGTGGGCTAAGCCCTCCTGACCTTACTCTGGAGAATTGAGTAAGATCTGCAGAATTTGTTCCCATGAGAATATTTCCTTAAGTTCTAGGATTATACAATTTTTAAAGTTTTATTATTATTTTATTTAAAAAAAACCCAAACACATAAAAGTATCCCAACGAAATAGGTAGCTTCCACAAGATAATAGATCCTGCTTGAATTATTCTCATTCATGGGACAGAATATTCTCTTTAAAAATTGTAATGACCTCGGAAGCCATTGAAGGATACTCAGTAGCTCAAACAGCAAATGCTCACCCCTGTCAATTATAGCATGAATGCATAACTTCCCTGCAATGAATGGAGATCTTAACAGGGATTTGCAAAGGCTTTTTTCCCCCTTCTTCTTTCTACTCCATACTTTTCTTGTGAGCACAATGGAATAAGGTTAACATAAGAAAAAGTACACAATTGTTGGCTATCAAAGAGCCAGATTCTGCCATCCTAACTCACCTGGAAGAGTCCCATTGAGCTCAATGGGCCTACTCTGAGTAAAGTACTACTCAGTGTGAGCAAGGGAGGCAGAATCTGGCAAAAACAAGGATGCAGTAGTATAAATTCAGCAGTATTCCAACTAAGTCAATGTAGTGAACAGAGACAAAATTAAATTAGTCCTGTGTTTATTGGAATGTATTACGTTTTGCATGTTTCCAAATGACAACATGCTCTCGGCCTGATTTTCAGAAGTGTTGAGCATCCACAGCTCTGATGGACTTCAACAGGAGATAGAGGTACTTTGTGCTTCTGAAAAATCAGGCTGTGTTCAGTAAACACGGTAACTTTCAGTGAGTATAGTAAATATTTGGGTGTTATCAGATGTCTATTTATTAGAGCTACATTTTAGACAGGGTAAGACTCCTGTTGACTGCAGAGGGCTTTGGATCAGGCCCTAGGAAGAGAAAGTATTTCATACCTTGGAAAATAACAAACTGATTCTGTTGTACATTTTTAATGTGACTACTCCAAAATGTCTAATATGTTTTCAGAAATATTTATTTTGTAATTACACAACAGGAAAATAGCCCCAATTTCCACTTTACATAAATACGCTTCGTGTTACTAGAGGTCATGCAGCTTACTGGAAGTCATGCTTCCAACCAGAGATCAGCCATAAATGCAAAGGACTGGTTAAGGATTGTCATTTATACAATGACTTAGGTGTCCATAGTGTGCCTAATTCACCTTTTGCACTGGTTATATGCTTATTAGTGCAAATACGAGAAGAAAAAGACTCATAGGGCATACTAGGGTGGTGGACCATATAGGTAGATAGCTATAACTGTTATAATCATGCCTATGGTACACATCCTAAGGAGTTTATAATCAGGGGTTTGGGTCTAAATGTCCCCAAAGTTTAGGAGTGTTTATAACTAGGGTTTCAGTTTGGACAGTAATAGAGATTCTAGCCAGCTGCCAAGTTAGGGGCAATGGAGAAATCAAAGTACATTTGTCCATTTCCTCCTTCTTTATTAGAAGTTTTATCATTTAAAAAGTATGTAAGATTGTGCTTAGGCAAACGGAGAGTGCAGTTCACAGGAAAAAGGCACTGACTGATACTAATCTGCTGGCCCTGTATCTTTCTGGGAAAAAAAAAAGTTGACTACTGTAGCAACATAAACAGGTAAGAGATTATTTTGGGCTCACTTTTGGAAGTGAGTTGTCCCATTTCTATCTTATTCTATCTTATTCTTTAATAGAATTAATTAGTTAAAGACACAGGTGATGCTTTTTCACCCAAAACTTACTTTGGGGAAATTTATTTTTGTGGCTAAAGCCCTGGAGTGGGAGCCAGGAGAGCTCAGGCTTGATTCACCCCTGGAAACTGAATCCTCCTACCTGTGCCAGTGGAGTTGGCTGCATTCCAGGAGTATTGAGCTCAAGGGAGGGCATGTAGTATTTTCAGCAATCCCCCTGTCCACAGGTTCTATTAAGGCAGGGTAGGTTTAATTTGCAGCTGGATCTCCATATGAAACTCACTAGTAGAGGCTGACTTGGTGATGCCACGGTCTCTGGTTGCCCAAATCTTAAAATGGAAGGTGTGACAGGAACTCAGAAGCCTTGGCGATAAATACCTGGATGGCTGGATAGACAAATATAAGTGAAAATAGTATTATGCATTATGAACATTACAACAGTGAAGCCTCATAGCGGCTATGTGGCAGGCAAGCGTGATTATCCCCATTAGACAAAGAAGTTCTGGGGAGACTGAGGCACAACATAATGAATGAGTTGCCCAACTCCATGCAGTGAGTGAATGGCAGAGCCAGAAATGAAACTCAGTTCTCTTGATCCTGAATCCTGTGATTCAATGATAGATCATTCCCCTAATCTCAAAGATGACATGCTAAGAATATCATATTTATTCTTATACTTTATTATGTTATTCTTGTACTTTATCCACTACAGCATTTTGGGTCATTTCAGGTGTTTTCAAACTATTTATAATGGTGTCTGCTCTGAGGCCCTGATTCAGCAAAGTATTTGAGCACGTGCTTAACTTTGTTTGCATGAAGTACATTGAAGTCAATGGGACAACATATATGCTTAAGGTTTTTCTGTACAGGGATAGAATTAGGGACTTGCAATGTTTTGATGCCTAAATTAGAAAAGACATATAACTGAGACAATAATCTGTGCCCTGGTGTGTCCTAAAATAAGGCGAGTCTAACACAATTAGAAAATCATCAGAGGAGAGTATATGGATTTGGGTGCTCACTGCAGGCATATGTAAAATATTTCTCTCTCCAAAATTCAATATAGATTTTTTTTCAATTCCCTCCACCCTCACCCCTGGAGGCCTATAAGTATTATTCAGACTCAACACTTGGAAAACTAAGAGCAGACTATATTTTCCTCATCTACTTAGATCATAACACACTCCCTCTTGAATTGCTCTGTATCCTGTAAACAAGTTAAAAACCAAACTTCAACTTTCAGCACTAGGCACACCTCACACATTCCTTCACTTCAGCATGCAACTCTTACCTCCTTCAACCAACCAACCCAAAACCAAACAACTCCCCTCCCAAACACATACTCCCAGTTTTAGTATGCAGTGTTGTTGTAGCCATGTTGATTCCAGGATATTAGAAAGACAAGGTAAGTGAGGTAATATCTTTTGTTGGACCATCTTCTGCTGGTGAGAGACACAAGCTTTCAAGCCACACAGGGCTCTTCTTCAGACCTGAAGAAAAATTCTGTGTAAACTCCAAAGCTCACCAACAGAAGTTGGTCTAATAAAAGATATTACCTCACTTATCTTGGATCTCTAACACTGTTCTAGGTAAAGGCCATTTTAAAATCAAATACATTCCTCTTTGTTTTCCCTTTCTTATGAGGTACTCCATTTCCTGGTTTGACACTCAACAAAAAACAAACATCCCGTCATACACATTTCCAAAATTGTAGTATTTCAGGTTAATCTATATGATTCAGAGGAATTTGATGTGTTCATTGTGTTTCTGTATATGTTGGATGTGTCAAGGAGTGTCTTGTGGAGTTGCAGAGTGCCTTTTGCAGTATATGAAATAAGATTGTGTTAACTGGAGATTTTCTTGTGTTGCAGTGATTGCACTGGATAGTTTTTGCACTTAAATAGTCTTAGCTGTAAGCCAACAAAGTTTTGGATGGTGGGCTGAATATTAATTAAACAGCTTGTTATTTGGCATGGCTCCAGGAAATTTCCTTCCTCTTTTACCCTGTCTCTGCCATTTAAAAGGGCATTATCAGTGGAATGTTACGTCCTATTAAATCTGTTACTCTTTCCAGTTCTTGAAAAACCACTGCTAGAGATAACTAAGCATCCCATCTCTCAGATTTCTAGTCTATTAAAAATTTAGACTCACCCCACTGTATATACTGTACATTGCAAAAGTAATTGCTACAGTATGTAAACTCTGAGCAACTCCATCCATCATAATAGCTTAAAATGTATCAGTTTTTCTTCCTCTTCTTCCACAACGTCCTGCATCTCAGCCTTGCCCACAGATAATCTTGCATATAGACCAATTCCTTCTCCTCTAAATATGTGGAAATGACTTTTTTAATGGCAACCCATCTGGTTCTCTATGTGTGACTTTTTATAATAAAATAATAACAATGTTTAATATTATTTTCCTTGTTCTTGGTTCCAGCCCTTAACTATGATAGGGCAGGGATATGTAAGTGTGGAAATTCTAGAGCTGACAAAAAAAGAATAAAAGCAGGAGGATTCTCCTTCCTCCTCTTTCTTCACAGACAATAATGCTTCCTGTTGCAGCTGTTAGGTGAATGATTCTCCCACTGAATCTTCTAGATTGTCATGAGTGTGGTGGTAATTCCTTTGCTAATACAGACTGGCTAGGCAGCACTGCAGCATTAACTTTAACTTCCTGAAAATGTCCTGAAAAATCCCAGTTTTTCGTACAAAGGTAAAGAAGCTGCATTATATGAAAACCATTGGTCTTTGAGAAGCTGCAAGAACAAGGGATCAAATTCTGGTGCACAGCAAGCAACTAAAATGGACAGTAGGACTAAGGGGACAGAGAAAACAGTAACAGGGTCAGAACATTCATTCAGCCCCTCCATGTTGGGCACAACTGCAGTGAAGCGGTCTCCATTATTCTTTGTGTACTCTAATAAGTGCCTATGAAGGATAAAGGTATTCAGTATTATTGAACCAATGTGCCCATGTTCACAAGTGCAATAAATTTATCTCCCACTGTAATAATAATGCAACAATCATATTTTTAACTGAATGCATGAATATCTTGCACATGGGGCATCTCAAAGGGTCACATTCTGATTTCCTTTATCTGTGTTTACTCTATCCTTATGCAGGCAAAGCTCCCACTAACTCCATTGAGAATTTTGCTCCAGTAAGGATTTAAGGCCTTACCCTTAAGTCATTTGATGACTAGACTGTGCTTTTTCTTCCCCTTAATCTTTTCAGAGATTTCCCCACTGTGTTCGAGTTTTCTTGTCTCTCTTGCAAGATATCTGACACACTGCAAGATCCTGTTGCACACTTAGGCATCTATTCTTCTTTTAACATGCATGCACAGCTCCCCTTGATGCTAAGGGGAGTTATGCATGCATACTGAAGAGAGAATAGACACCTTAATCTTGCTTGGCAGGATTTCCCTTTTAAGCTTTGGTCCCAAGCAGGCATTTGTAGTGTTTGGTGACCTTTTGCACCAGGCCAATCAGTCCATTGTGGACTAAAGTAAAACTTCCTTTTCTTGGCCTGCAGCAAGGCGGAGTTTGATCCTCAAGTCTTTGAAGTGTAGCATCTGAAGCCTATAACATAAAAGCTAGTTGAGCAGCAGTAACATCGGCAGCAGAGCTTGGTACAACGGCTTTGTTCAATGCGGCAGTTTCAGCTATGTCAAAAAGTTCTGTACTTTTGGAAATTCTACTTGAGGAAAAAGTTAATGGATTAGTCTGCATATAAATTCTAAGCAAGGAAATGTATTTTCATTTTGCACAATACACTTAATGGGCCTGCTTCTCCATATGCTGAAGTCAGTTGCAAAACACCAATGACTTCAATGGGAGCAGGAGAAGGCCCATTGTCCCGCTTATGTCAGTATCTGATTTCTGTATCTCAACTTTCATGGGAACAACACAACAGTGTGGAAAAACACAACCTGACTGCACAGACAATTTTTTTAATGAATTTAACTCCTCAGGAGCATTTATTGGGTAGGGATTTGTGTGCTTAAATGCTATTAATGTTAAGGGAATTTGCCTATGCACTAGTTGGAGAATAGACTTCTTGATGCTTTGCATGGAAAAAAGGAATCCTGAATATCTATTCCCTTTGCACTACACTAAAGTCCTGCAAACTATAGTTTCTCAAATTAAAAAAAAAAAGCTTAAGTCTCCCTTATTTTTTAAAAGGCAATGTCAGTTTGCTAGATTAACCAAACTAGAAAAATGCTTTCCAATATTAATGACCATTATAAATGTTATAACCAGAGAGAGAACAGGAAAAGAGTAATTTGCATCACAACTCTGCCCAAAAGGTGCTAATGATGCTCAGGTTTGTTTGTGCTGCAGTTCAACTAATGGCATTTTGTCTAACACAGTCAGAGATATATAGCTGTGATATCATTAAAAAACAAAAAACAAACAAAAAATCCTAGAGCAAAGAATAAATTCTTTGCAGTATCTTCTTTTAAAACAGATGATGGCTCATTACCACCTTTAAAAATAAAAGTGCTCCATTAGCCACAGCGAGGGTCAAGCATGCTGAAAAAATGTAGGGCTAAATAAAGAGCTTTCTACCCAGTTCAATACAGATTTAGTTTGTGTACAAAATCTTTCAACATCTATTTTGTTAAGGATACGTGATCTGGTCTAAATGGTGGACAGCTTGGAATGTAAGAAGGAGGAGGAACCAGCTGTGTTTTTTGTTTTACTCTAATTTACAGCATTTTAATGTTCAATACTCAACATTGTATGGGAAGTGACAACAATAATCTAATCTATTTTTAATGACAGAGTATATTTTTAAATTTTCTTGGGACTTCTCACAACTCACCCCAAAATATCATCAATAAAATAAGCCTCAAAGCTGAATTTATGGTCAACCATTTCAAATCACCCCTCTGATGTAGGAAAGTATTATTATCTCTATCCTACAGTTTTAGAAAGCTGAGGCAGAAAGTGGTTTAGTGATTTGCCTAAGGAGACGTGGAAAGTTAGTTGGTGAGAGAAGCACAGAGTACAGAACTCACATTTCCCAGTCTAGTGCTCTGATCAGTAGGGAACATATGCAGACCTTTACTGCTCAGTCTCAGAGGGACACCTGGCAGTAGAACCAGTGTGATTGTGTCTGTGAGGGGGAGGCTAGTTATAGGGGAGGGAGCCAGCATGGCATGGAGCCCTGGTCTGTGGAGGCTCATAGCATGCCACAGTGTATAGGGTGGTCTCAGACGATCCACCACTACCTGGAACCTCACATTCTCTGCCTGTGTTGAGGAAGATCCAGCACCCATTAGACTGCAGTAACCACTTTGGAGTGGCTCTGCAGCTTCTTGGTGGCTTTTCTAGAAGGCTGCCTCCCTATTTTCCTCTGGCATTTGCCCTCCCCACGCT